AGCGAGGGTGCGTGGCGCTCATCTTTGCACTTACGCCCAGGTCAGGTGCAGGCTCGCCAGCAAAGAGCTCCGAGGGAGGCGCGCTCCGGACGGACGCACATGGAGAGCGGCGGGCTCGGTCCGGCGGGGTCGCCACCCGAAGCCCCGCAGTGCCCCGCGCCTGGGCCCGAGGGCGCAGCGGCTCCGGTCGAAGCAGGCGCGGCTGGCGAGGACGCGGGCGGACCGCGGCGGGCACTGCGGCTCGTGTATGTGCGCAACGACAGCCCGGCGGGCGGGCCCGAGGCTGGGGCGCAGCAGTGCCTGCTCCGGGCATGCGAGGCCGAAGGCGCCCTGCTGGCCTCCGTGTCCTTCGGGGAGCTGGACTTCGGGGAGACGGCCGTCCTGGACGCTTTCTACGACGCAGGTGAGGACGCCCCCCCCCCCCCCCAGCATGCTTCGTGCACTTCTCTTTCCGCCTGCCCTTAACTTAAAGCAGACATGCAGAGCTTTGGGAAGGGCAGCGATTGCATGGTGACCCTGTCTTACAGTCCCTTTATTACCCAGTCTCCTTTGCCCCACAACTTACATTGCTAACGGTGGACTTGAGCCCCCCCAGACCCCCAGCTAATCTGAGCAGTGGTTCTCAGTGTCACCCAGAGTACCCAGCTTCAGAGTACCCAGGGGCGCCGCGGGGGTCCGAATTCTGGGGTTTAGGCTGCACCCAGAACTCAGAAACCCCGAGCCTGCATGATTCTGTGGTGCAGCCAAGGGCGGGAATCCGTGTCTTCGCTGAGCGGTGTGTCTGGTTTTGGAGTGGAGGTACCGTGGTCATTTCCACAGGTGCCACATACTGGGCCATGGCTGTGTTTTATCTGAGAATGGGGGAGTTTGGGGAGTTCAACAGTCTCAACTGTTGCTGAAGGGGAGACATTGAGGAGAGTGCCTTAAAGAATCTCCTCTTGGAAGAAGGTTTGGGGGAGTTTTTGCTTAAGAAATCTTGAGATTCTTACTAATGGTGGTAGAATTGAGAAAAGCGTAGTTGTAAGACCCGAACAACTTAATGTTGCTTAACCGTGTGTCGGGACGGACTGTCGAGTTGGTGTATATTGACCACAGATTGCAAAGAGACCGAATCTAGGCAGAATCCGTACTTTTACTGGGCACGTGGGCCGAACTGTGGCCTCACTATTGTTACCGGTTGTCCTTTTGGTATCTGTGCGGGGGACACTGACGAGCTTGCACGTAAGACTATCAGTTCCTGGGAGTTTGGTGCCTCTGTTGATCTGCTGGTGCAAAGCGGCTGAGCCCGCAATCCTCGCTGCAACCATCAAAGCCCGCGAGAAGCTCGCGCCCGCACGTGGTGCTCCCTACTGCGGGCGGGGGGCCTGGCGCGCGCTGCTTCTCTGCCGCTAAACCGCACCTGGAGGGGAGGGGAGGGGAGGGGAGGGGACGGGCAGCCTTGTTTAAATAAATGGCAGCTGCTGCCCTTATTAGCCATTTAGCCGCCTTGGAAAGTCAATTGAGAATCATAGGGACCCTATGGGGCTTTATAGGCTTATGACCTTAACGAAACAACTTTTTTTTAAGGTCTTTCAACTTTTCTAATCTCTGATGGTCCCTTTTTTTGAAAGTTGGTCTTGGGCTGTCCTCACCTGGAACCACTTAGTTTTCTCCTTTTGGCTGCAGCACAGTTGGTGTCCGAAGCCTAGGGCTTCGTGATGGGGACGGGCCACAGATGTGCAGGGCATTGTCACTGAGGACTTGGAGCTGGGTGACTGCGAATGGCACATAGAAACGGAGGGCATTCAGTCCCATGGCTCCTCCGCAGGCGCATCACCTTTCCTTACTGCTTTGATTAACATTGGCCTGGTCTTCGTAGCTGGTGCAAATGGTTAAAAAAGGCACTCAGCTGTTAATCTTGGAGTGAGGTCAGAGGTGCCTTGGGGTGCTCAGTGGTCCCAGGTGGCTCCTGTGTGGGGACCGCGCAGTTCCAGACGATTTCCTTCACCTTAGAAATTCACATTGGACAGTACTGTTAAGAGTAAATGGCACAGTGTTGATTATTGAAGTATCCTGAATTGGGAGGAGGGGTTGTTACTGTTACATATGTTTAACTACAAGCACATAGGATGCATGCATGCACTCACGCATGCTCTAGCCTGTGCATGCCCTGCCAGCGCCTTGGGCTGTGGATAGCCGTTCAAACTCACCCGCGATCTGCTTTGTAAAGATTGACAGCCGTAGAACCTCTATGAGGCAGGTCTTCTGTACCCCTTAGAGTCACTGTGGACAGGACAGCGGTTCTGATTTGGTTGTGGGGACCCAGGGAGCTCTGGCAGCCTACTCTGTAGGGAGTTACCCTGAAAACGGAAAAGTCCCGCCTCTCTTCCAAGTCCACTCTCCCAGGAGGGGAGTAAGATGGCTGGGAGGGAGTAAGATGGAGTAAGTGTCCTTCCTTGAGATTTATGGCCTGAGAAACCCAGTGGAGGGTTAGCTAGGAGTTGGTTCAGACTCACTGGCAATGAGTTTGTTTGATCTGCCCGCGCGCGCGCGCGCACACACACACACACACACACACACACTCACACACTCGTGTGGCATTTGCCATCTCAACGTCTTGCACCTGTTCAATTCCGTGACGTTCATTTATGCTCCTCATATTGTGCAGCCCCGTCACCTGTAACAATCTCAGTGCCCTCCAAGCTCTTTCCTCCTCCTTCCCACCCTTGATAACCTCTCCTGAGCTTTGCTTTTCTGTGCATTTACTTATTCTAGATTTTTCGTGTGAGTGGGATCGGGCAGTATTTGTCCTTTCACATCTGACTTAGTTCCACTCAGCCTCGTGTTTTCCAGGTTCATCTCCTTTTGGGTCTGAGGGGTCGTGTTTTTTGTAGGAACCACCCTTTTGTTTCTCCTCACTCTGTCGATGGTCATTTGGATTGTGTCCGTCATCTAGCTGTGCAGTCCTGCATGAGCTCTCAGGGAAGATGGTACCTTGGAGCTTGAAGCCTTTCTTCACTCTGTTCTCATAGCAAGTAAAGGCTGGGCCTGTGTATGATAATCCCTTTCCTGTACTGTCGTGTGGTCTTACTTGGGTCTAAGACTAGGGTTGAGTTGGTGGCTTATCTGGTGAGTGGCTGGAGAGTCACAAACTGGCATTAACTGAATTTCAAACAACAGGCACTTAGGTGTGTTGAATTTTCGCATCCACTGTTGGTCTCTCTAAAGAGCCTTGAATTCAGAACTGTCAAATTCAGGGAAGGCCATTTACCTGATCACTTCTTGTATTTGAAAATTAAAACATGTCTCCCCTTCTTTTATTCATAAAGACTCCTTTTATTTTTTTCCTATTTCCAATTTAAATTAAAATTTTGTCTTTTATTTGAAGGAAAGTTAACAAATAATACTGATTTTTTAAAATTCAATTATACACGTTTTTATAACATCAGTTGCAATAAAGGAATCATACACGTTTTTATAACATCAATTGCAATAAATGAATGTAACGAATTACACTGTCTTATCAATATATTGTATATTGCCTTTCCTTTATCCAACTTACCTCTTAATGAATTATTATACCTCCCTCCCTTCCCATCCCTGGTAGCCATCTGAAATCAATCCTGTGTGTAAACCTTTCCTTAGCTTTGTCTACCAGGGGTCTCCTTTGTGACTGACTTTTGCATCTCATAATGTCCTTTAGATGCAGGTTATATATTCTGGGTGGTGGTGCAGATATCTGTTTCCTCTACTTTCCTGTGCTGAACATGTGTTTCTCTTTTCAGTTGTCCATCTCTCCTTACAGAAACCATAGTCTTGACCCTGGCTGAATTATTGCAAGTTTGAATTGTATCTGCCGAGAATAGCCCCATCTACTTATTTCCTCCCGCTGGTGATCTCACCCTCCTAGTCCTTCTCAGTGCTCAGGACCTGAGGAAAGGTGCCCTGCCGAGCAGGGAGGAAACCTTTGTCACTCTGGCTAATGCTTTTCCAAACATACTCACCATGGAAACCCTACTCTGTGCTGATGCAGTGTGGTAGGTGAGGGCACAACGGGTTGTCCAGGTAGGTTCACTTCCTACTCAGCTCAGTGATTAGTGAAGGACCAACCTAAGTTCCAGCCTCCACCCAGATGCTAATTCTCCAGTGGCTTGAGTTAGGTAGTAGCAGTGCAAATGAGGACAGCTCCTGGCCCTTTGATCAAGCCCTTGGAGGAAGCACCCCAAGGCACAGAATTATCTTCTGGGCCTGCTCTGTTTTAACTGCTTCTTGGCCACTTCATTGAAATGCTACTGTCCTTGCCTGCAACCCTGCCTTTAATATTTCAGCTCTGTTTACAAGCAGTCCATGGTTATGTCTTTAAATAAGCCTTTGAGTTTTCAAATGCATCTAGTTCTTACTTAGCCTTCTTGTAGTGCAAGAGCCAGCCCTAATGTCAAGGCAGCTAAAGTGCTTGAGAGCTAACTAACCAAAGGAGTTTGAGCCTATCCACTCTCGCAGGTGCAAAGATTTAGGAGTCTGCTTCTGTCAAGATTTAGGCCTTGAAAATGCCATGTTGCGTTTCTCCTGTCCTCTGTGGGTCTTTGTGAGTTGAAATCTGTTTGGTAGAAGTGGATTTGGTGTGAGAAGAGGCTCAAGGCCTTTTTCATAATTGAAATGCCACGCAAGGTGGTCTGGGTGAAAAATTTGTTGTAACTGGGATTCTGTTCAGTCTTTGCAATGTGAGGATAAGTTTATAAGTCATGCAGGGGCAGGCACGAGTTGTCCATAAGTTGGAGGTGAAACACTACCGCCTGCAATAATCTTTAAACTCCCCTGTTGTTCATAGAAAATCGAAGCCGGATGTCTCCAGCTCCAGCTTGATGGGTTGGCTTTATGATCTCTTTATATAACTCTTAAGAGTGGGGCAGAAATAGCAGGTTGGCTGGCCACCATGCTCCTGAGCACATTTCCCTTTGTGTCTAGGTAGGATGTGAGGCTAGCCCTGGCCAGTGAAGAAATGTCAGGAGAAATGGTGCATGTCACTGCTGGGCCAAGGTGCAGATCTGTAGGTGGGGTTTGGTTTGGGTGTTTTGTTTTGTTTTGTTTTTTGCAGAAGGTAAGATACTGATTTATTAGAGAATTGTTGTTGGGTGCTGTTGAGATTCATAGCTGCCCCTCCAATGAGTTTTCATCGGCATTAACTCACACTAAAGAAGACACCTAATAATAAGACTGCATTGGGCAAATCTTCTGACAAGGACCTCTTTAAAGTGCCAAAGAGCAAGGATGTCAGTATAGTGACTAAGGTGTCTAAGAGGAAAAAAGTTGAAGCCTATTAATTAATATCGCATTGATTCCTAGAGCCTTATTTTTAAGTATTTTTATTGGTTTTCACATAATAATTGCTTTGCATTATGTTTTATACAGTTTTTCCTTTATACA